GAGAGAGAGAGAGAGAGAGAGAGAGAGAGAGAGAGAGAGAGAGAGAGAGAGAGAGAGAGAGAGAGAGAGATTTTGCCGTGCGTATACGCGCAACTATTTATCACCGACGGACCGACCTTGCTGGTGTGCACTGGGCAGGGCTGTAGGAGACGCCGGCGTCGCCCCGCGGGCGCACACGGTTCAGCCCGTGTTTACCTGCCGCTGTCAGGCTGATGTGCGCAGCTGCATGCTGCAGTCGGGTCCACGAGAGCAGGCAAACACACTGTCGCGCTACATAGCTGTGCGCGTGTCGCGTGGTAGCACAGGAGTTATGTGACACTACATCGGCATGGAACCCGGATGACGAACGCGTGACGTTAGCGTTGTCGGCAAGCGTTGTCACGTTAGCTGTGCGTAATCACATGCGGCCAGCGTGGTGAGGCTAGGGCGTGGTGGAAACGCGCTGAGTGTATCGATCGGGAGGATTTATCATGCGTTGCAGTATTAGCGTAGTGCTGCTATAAGCTGACTTCCAACGGCAAAAAAACGCTCAGGATTGTTGCTAAGCATTGTTACCAGACACTGTTGTGGAGCATTGTTGCAGATCACCGATGAGGAACATTGATGCTAGACATTGTTGTGGAGCATTGTTGCAGATTATTGATGCTAGACATTGCTGTGGAGCAATGTTTTAAAGAATTGTTGTGGAGCACTGTTGCTAAACGTTGTTGTGCTGCATTGTTATGGACCATTCTTGGGGAGCACTGATTTGTAGCATTGGTGTGCGTCGCACGTTGGAGTGGCAGTGACAGGCCCAGTGGTAATGCCTTAGCAAGGAATAAATCAACAGATGAACAATGCTTCCCTGATATATAGACAGCGGTACTTCAAGCAGCACCGCCTCTCTATAGTGCTGGAGAATGATTTACATCCAGTTATGCATTATTTACATATCATCGGTATACATAATGCACACATCGACCTTCAGGCTGTGGTTTATATTTGTGAGGCACTGTGCAAATCAGAGCGATGCGATGACATTATCGTGAATAAATAAAAGAACGCTAATCAGATATTGGTATTGTCCCCTGTAAATAATCCGATGGCAGGCATGGTTGAGACGTAGAAATGTGAGGAGATACTGAAATGACGTTGTGAGAGTTTGGAGTGTTCGTGATACTTTGGATGTTGGGTATGAAACTCCCCAAGCGAGTTTCGTTTTTGTTTCCCAATGGGGAGTTTTACAGTAAGTACTGACACAGCCAATAACTATCCTGTGCCTACTGTTGGTTTATGTATGAACGAGTGATGTTCATGCACGTAACAAAATGTTGCATCAGTGTATAATCCAGTCATTGTTCATCTGTGTATTAGTTTCGCTCCTGTATACTAGCCATTTAACTTTATGTATGTGTATACAGTGATGTTTACATGTACATAGATTTGAATGTATGACTCAGTGATGTCTTTGCGTATGACTCAGCAAAGCTGATGCCACTACATTCACAAGTTATGTATGAGTTTAAATAGGTGATGTAATGCTGTATTCCTCTATCGTGCCCACCGTAATGTTCATCATACATTAGACGTGGATATGTGACATAGGTACGATGCTGATGCGACTATATTCATAAGTTATCTATGAGGTAAATCGATGATTTAATACAGTATTCTCTCCTGCTATAGCTCCTAGACCCACGGTAACTTTCACCTATCTCTAACTGCTGATCTTCATTACATTGCAGTAAGTGTCAAGTCTGATGACTCGACCGATGGGGGCGCGCAGTCGCACACGCAGAGTAGTCCCTCTAAGGCAGCGAAGCGGGCGAGCAGCGCACCGCCGACCCGCCGCAGCATCTTCACTCTGCAGGCGAAGGCTTCCACGGTGACGCCGTCGACGCCCTCTACAACCAGTAAGTGTCGCCGCGCGGTGATCGCACAGCTGTCTCTCTCTCTCGGCTGCCGCGGAGCCGTGGTTGTATAGGGTGCGGAGCGCGAATGTTCAATTAGTGTGGCGCGGTGTGTCGAGGTGGTGATTTCTGCTGTTTTTTTTACGTCTTGAGTTATTTTTAATGCTGTTCATGGCCCCGCATTATGAGGTTTTTTACCGTTTACGTCGTAAAAGAATTATGAGTTTAAGCGGCGTGTCAAATTGCGTTATTCATTTAAGCATTAATTTAACCCATGTTCGTGGGTCAATTTAAACTGGAATTTTCTGAGCATTTGAGAATGTCACTCCAATAAATTCAAAAATGTAAAGTAATCGTGCCTTAGGTCCCATCCACTTAACTCCTTCACTTGACATTCTTTCTATTTTTCTTTGACATGGAGAAGATATGCCGTAAAACCTATCCACAAACATACAATCGTGTCTAGTCGTTACCTATACGGATTACGAGATCGTTCTTCTTCAGTAAATTGGCATCATTCCAAATCCATCCACTCGCTCACTCGTATTCACTTGTCCTTGCCACCTGGATCATGTGATAGAAACAAGACAGAGGAATGCGGGAGAAGCGTGCTTGTGTTCACGAGACGAGGGGTAGCAGAATATTGTTGAAAGGAAGGAAAGAAAGAGGAAGAGGGGAAGGGAGTTGGGGAGGAGGAAGGAAAATAAGAAGGTAGGAAGTGAGGGAGGGCGGGGGAGGACGAGGAAAATGAATAAAGTTAGGTGAAAATATGCAGTGAATTATTTAGATTCTCAGCAATGATCATGTAAGGGATTAAGATTGAGTTTCAAAGGCATTTTTTCATTCGTTTTGTTTTCAACCGAGATTTACGCTCGTTTGGTGTAACTGCCTGGTCTAGCTATTTACCGACTACATAATTTCAAGCGCACGTGAGTTATTGTTCTCAGATTTATGCTGCATCAGCCACCGTAATTTTCTCTTATTCGGGGGTTGTCATGAGGTTGCTGCAGCGGTAAATCATGTATCTTGATGTTCTACATATTACAAATACAATATAAGTACTGGAAATCCACTCAAAAATCATGAAAATGTGCCCATTTTAAGAAATTTGCTAGTCTGCGTATTAATTTCTAGCTTTAACTTTTATTAACACTATGTTATTCTTACGTACAATATATTTACAATATTTTATATATTTGCTAAAACATTAATTTTTCACTTTTGTATTTCTATACATAAATGCTTCCCTTAGTAACTTCCAGGATGTTTCCATAAATCCTGTTCCATAATATCTTGTTTAGAACTCTGTTATGCTTTAAATATATAGCAAAAACAAGATTTAAGTTAGACCTATCAAATGGTTTTGAAATGGGCTGTTTCTCATGATTTTTCCTTTCACTTATTAAATATCACTTGATCTTTGCTGTATTCTAATAATAAAAGCTCTCTTGCTCTCTGTTTCTGTCTCTGTCGGTCTATCTCTCTCCCCTTCTCTCTCTTTCTCTTTCTCTCATCCCCTCTCTCATTGTCCCTCTCTCACACGTGTTATCACTATTCTCTAATAAATGTAGTTTAATTTTGATATTTTCAAATCTTTTGTCTGTGTGGCATCTGCATCTGATCCTAGCCAACACAATGCCTTGTAGTGAGTAAGCACTCTGTGTTTTCGTTACTCTAACGGATATTAACCCACTTTTTCAACAAGCTGCTCGAAAACGGACGTCCCCACAGCAGACTCCAAGTTCGAGTACGAATCTTAAAAAACAACCACCAAAAGGTATAGCGTACGTAATACAGTCTGTGCACAACCTACCAGCTTCTCGGCTTGCCTGCGTCTTCGACAAGTGCTGCCCTCTACCTGAAATCCAGCAATCGTCCTTCTATAGCCGGGAACCACTGAGCTGTATATAATAACAGCTGTTATTTTTATATCAGGGGTAATAATTTGTCATTATTCACCCCTGATTATATACAGCTCAGTGCCGCGAACGCACATAGGATTTATGGCACCGAGTGCCAGGCTCAACATGAAATTATATTGGTCAAATGAACATGTTCTGATAGTGCCTGACATTGTGAGACATTATCTAGCACTCACGTACACGAATACTAACAATAAAATTAATTTACTTAACAAATGCATTCCTGTCAAAGTGGACGAGATCAGGATATTTCCGGTCAGAACCATAAATCGTATGTGCGTTTTACGAGAGAAGCTGTTAACTCCGGCTTCAAGGTCGAGAACTGGCATCAGCTGGAGAGCCTGTATTTGGCGTAGACTGCTATTAATTGCCTCACGCCTGCCTAGCACAATGGATCCGGTGGTGGGGGAGGGAGCAGTTGCAGCCGATTTTGCACGCACGCACCGTCTTGTTTGAACGTTCGTCTCGCGAGGAATCCTTGTGATGTCACAATGCACATTGTCATGTTGCTAAAACTGTCCGCAAAGTCAATCTGCCACTGAGTGAGTATTCATCAGTGTACTTGATCAGGGTCGACTCCCACAGAGAATGCAGGTGAGGTAGGGGAGTGGTGAATTCTCAACCCATTCACCACTTACAATGCCGCCACTCTCACTACTACCACCAGCACCACCAGTACCGCTATTACTACCACTGCCATCCCCACGACTGCTGCTGCTGCCACCACTTTCACTGCCACTATACCACCAAGACACGGCGTTTGTGCATGCTTCTAATCATTCTGTGATACTTATCAAAAAAATCATGTCATGCAAAATGTTGCACGAGTGTATATATCCACATGCCCACTATGCTACACCACACCACGTTTTCCTATCATACGGCGCCAGTTCGAAAGTCACTCTACATATAAGGTGGTGGGAAGCTTGTAGTGCTGGCTTGGGCGGCAGGTGGCGCTGGTATGCTTCACATATTGTGTATTACATAGCACCTATCTTCATCTGTATGCACACAATGGTGTACCTCCACATCCCAACCTAGTAAATTGTAGGTTTGCAGTATGTTGTAGGAAAGTTGACGTACATTAGCGCGCTGTGCGTGGGAGATCTAATCCACATTGGATTAAAGTGTGCCATACAGTATCACGGGTCCCAACTTTGCATCTCTCTGGCAGTGAATCGGCATATTGACCGGATGTTACCTCAGTTTCAGTTACTTCTACGCGTTCTATATTATTTATTATGATCTTATATAACATATATAAGATATATATTTATCTTGTGGGTGGACGTGTTTGGGTGGTTTTATGCAATGATTTAGATGTGATATGTGTATGCTAGTAGATTGTTTGGAATAGTAATAGTAAACTTATTAGTCTGTATCTATAGTGTTTGTTCCAATCTTACGTTGATAGTTAAATGTTTAATCCTTCTCATTGATGTATTCGATCGCTTTGGTACGAAACACACACATAACAAACATGAATGAATAAGCGTTCCTGTTTTGTAATACTAGCAGTCGACTGTTGTCTATTAACACTTTTCTATTCTCATTACTAGGTAATGGTAACCTAGGTAACAATAGCCTAGGTAACATTGGTCTTTGCATGTTACTAACGTCGGTGTGTTGCCTGTGTGTTTGTCACTAGGATCTGGTTTCGGACGAAAATCGCCAGCTGCTTATACTGGAGGTAACTAACCATTTTAGCAGTTCTCGCCTATACTCCAGGGGGGTCGTTATTAACTAACTAACTAAAGTTAATGCTAATGATAATGCTAAGATAGCACGTACCACTAATGTTGATGATACGAGTAATGATGATAAGACTAATAGTGTTTCTGACAACGGGCCCCAGATTTTGGCTATCTTCGTATTGTCAAAGCATTTGGGTCGTAGTATTTCATCAGCGTACTAACTGTAGCCTCGTCTACACGACGAACCTTAACTCGAGTTAAGCTAACTCGAGTTAAGCTACTCGATTTTAGCGATTATGTAGCGGTCTAACACGACAACCATCCGATAGCGATTTAATTACCCGATTTATTAATGCACTGCGTGCGTGCGTGTGTATGTAAACCGTGCGTGCGTGTGATGCTGTGTGCGTGCGTGTGCACGTATGCGTGACGATGCGTTGTGTAACGTACACGTGCGTGTGTGCCGTGCCGTGCGTGCGTGTGCACGTACCACTGCGTGGCTGCGTGAGTGACGTACATTGTGCGTGCATGTGTGCGTGCCGTGGCATAGTGCACGTACACGTGCGTGCATGAGTGTGTGCGGGCATGCGTGGTTGCGCAAGGTACACGTTCGTCGCGTTCTGCAGTGCCGTAGAGCGTGCCGTCGTGCAGCGTACCACGTCGTGCATGCGTGAGTGCGTACATGTGCGTGCATGTGTGCGTGCGTGCGTCCGCGTGGTGTGCACGTACACGTGCTGTGCGTGCGTGCGTCGTGTCACGCTACACATTGCGTGGCAATGCGTCCCGTCGCGTGGCACGTGCAGTCACACGTGCGTGCCGTGCGCGCGTGTCGGCAGGTATGCTATGTACACGTGCGTGCATGAGTGTGTGGTTGCGTGGTGCGTAAGCGTGGCTGCGAGCGTGCGTATGGCACGCGTGCATGCATGCGATGTGTACATACAACGTGCGTGCGCTGCGTCGCGTGGTGCACGTACACGTGCGTGCATGAGTGTGGCTGCGTGCGTGCGTGCGTGCGTCGCGTGGTGTACGATACCATCGTACTAGTGCTGCCGCCTATCGTGGAGGTTAAGCTAACTCGAGTTAAGCGTCTACACGGGCCTTGTGCTGTGTGAATAAAATGCAAACAGCTTAAGAGGCATTTACCGTATGTAGTAAAACTAAGCTAATTTTGTGTAGTTAGCATAAACAGATTGAAGTATTGTAGTGAGAGATTGAAATGGCTAGACGCTACCGTGAAAGAATTTGTTTTCCATAAACCCGCCAACTGGTCAAAATTGGGCTGCCTGAGTAACTACACTACTTGTATTATACATTTATGCTATGTGCGCAGTAAATAGAGGAATTGTCCTGCCATAGACTCCAGTTTAGCTGAAGCCACCGCGGAAACGCTGACTCATCATGTTACTGAAATGTACTAATAGTTTATTGGTGTTCTTGCACGCGGAAAAAATATTCCGAGGATGCGCGGCCTAGTTAATAATTTAATGACTTAGGCGCAGCCTCGTCTAAAGTAGTCCAAGATGTTTATGTAGCATATCTTTGGATGGATATGAACACATGTGTGTGATGCGCACGAGTGGTGATGTGTGTTCATGGTGGTGCCTAGAACACAGTGAATCTGCCATTATCTCTGCGTCTTGTGCATAGTTGATCATTTCACCCAGATGCCGTTATCTGAGTGAAATCGCCGAATACATCGGCTAGCAAACTAATTGGATTTTGGAAGTGCTATTGACTTGTGATGCAAGTCACATAAGAAGTGCAATAAGATTTTAGTAGGTATGTTTGGAATTTTTGTTGGGAGTGAGGCCATCTATGGCTGTTATTGTGGGTGCTCGCCTAGCGGTCCTGGTGTGGTAGTGTCATATCGGTGACCTAGAACAGTATTCTTTGATTTACAGATGAATTGCTAGAGAATTTCTTCCCATGCGCAGGTAGTTGTACGTAGTGTGCCGTGGTCGTACGACTTTGGTTGTTGCCTGCTGTGTATAAGTTTCAAACACCATAATATATATTCGTCTTCAAAATTGCCGTCACCGCCGTGCGATCGGTAGCTGAAAGTACAAGTCTTACATTTATTTACACGTTGGAAAATGTGTCACACTTTGATTGCCGTTTGAATTTGGATTCGTTACAACCACTATCATTGTTTACAGTGTGGTATCCAGAAACTTTCCGGCGTTTAGTTCTACTTTGTTCACGTTACATCTTGCACTTCATCCCTACACGGGTGAATTGTGGCCAAGTAAAGTACATTGGGTGGAATTAACATATATATATAGTTTTTGTTTGATCTTGTTTATCTTGACTTTTTATCAGTTTCCACATGTATACCGTACACCACTGCCCACAACAAAGGAAAAATGGCCCAAGTCACTCAACGAACCCAAAAAAAACGAATATTCTGCAGCTACTGTAGGGATTCGTATTACACAGAATATTTGAACTTTATCGAAGTTCTGCAATAGAGCAAAAACCCCTCATGTTCAGCCACCCTGTAAAAACTCTGCATGACGACAGAAGCTTAGCTCGTAGTAGCCGGTGACTCGACTCTCGGTCTCTGACCCTCGCGTGTGCGTCTTGTCTTTCAGCGCCTGCCGGCTCGTTGGACGAGTCCTCCTTCTTCCAGGCGTTCGAGGACGTGCCCAAGGTGCAGATCTTCTCGGGTCGCGATGTCGAAGAGATGATGACACGAATCCGGGAGGTGCTGCAGGATGAGAAGAACGACTGGGAGAAGCGCGTCGACAGCGTGAGTGCTTCGGAAGCAGCCGGGGAAGCGGGTCCTCTAGAGAGGGGATAACGGGGGTGGTCGACGTCCGCATTAGGTTGTTCGTAGCGCGGTGCCCACTTCGCGATGTCTACGTCGTATGAACTTGAAAGTTTTTCGTCTTTCATTCTTAATAGGGTGCATGTGCATTGTAGGAAATTAATATAATGAACAAAATATTTTAAGTTTGATCCAAATTGAGCAAAAAAACTGCTAGCATTAAATGAGTCGGGTATGATTTAGCGAAGGCGGGAAATGTCATCTCATCTCTTCTCCACCACTGCACTTTAGTCACTACACAGAAAAACCGAGATCATTCCATAAACAAAATGTAATTAACTAATGGAAGGAATAAAAGAATAGTAACGTAATATCTTCGCAGTTGTGCCAATGATTGCCGATCGCTAGGGCTGTAGGAATATAACATGCCTTGCGACACTATCCTTGTTGATAACCCCGCGTGTATTTATTGTGTTTGATGTGTTTGCAGCTAAGACGCGTGAGGTCTGTGGTGATTGCCGGCGGCATGGACTACGATGAGTTCCATCAGAATTTGCGTAGTCTAGAGACACCAATACAGACATCAGCCAAGGACCTTCGGTCGCAAGTCGTGCGCGAGTGCTGCATCACCATCGCGTACGTACTACATCACTTCTCTTTGCATGTTTGTTGTGGTCGAGGAGGGAAACCTCGTGATGAAGAGCGAAAAATGGCGAAGTGCTCGTGTTTGGTTTAAATTGACTGCGTCACGAATTTTCTATGGTAAAATTTGTAAAATTTTTGTTGCCATTTTTTTACATTAAAAGTAAGAACTAACGGGACTAAACGTATCCTCAAATTCTTACCTGATAAGATTGTTTCTCAACTAGTTAAAAATCCAAAGAACCTGGAAGATTTGATATTAGTGTTCCTGACATTAATTGCTTGCTATGGACTATGTATGCGTCACGAGTGTATGTTCACATCGAACAATATAGTAAAATAAGAAGTATAATGCAGCAATTTAACCGTAAAAAGTGAACAAAATTACTTATATTTTGTGAAAAAGTGGAAATGTTTTTTTTATTTTTTACTATTTACGGTGACGTAATCACTTTAACTGAGGAGCAGGGTTGGCTTGCTGCAGTCGGTTCTATTGCTGCAGGTTGCATTGTAGGTACAAGGTAGTAATAGTCGTACAGTGGAAAAGCTACATGGCAGTACTCGGTAGTAGTCGGACACAGTCCGGTGGGACGATACGTTGTGTTTGTTCACACGCAGGTTTCTTGCTCAACATCTGTGCAACAAGTTCGAGCATTTTGCCGACTCAATATTCCTGATACTCGTGGCGCTCATACCCAACTCTGCGAAGATCATGGCTTCATCAGGTGTCGTCGCTCTCAGGTTTATAATTCAGGTGAGTGCGCGCAAGCCAATGCTGATAGTACATTTCATCATCCGACAGTTTTAATGATTGCATGTCTAGCACAGCCTTAGCTGTCCATATCAGGGCTAGCAGAAATTTTTTATATTTTATATTTTGTAAATGGGGTTCTTTTTATAGAAGAGACAGGTGGACTGGTCTCCATGTGTTCATTATTTCATACATGTCGGTTTTGTACTTGCATGATCTTATTTCCATGTCTTTCCATAAAAACACATTTCGTATTAAGACTTATCATCAGTCTCGTTTGTTTATTCACATCAAGAGGTATGAAATCATATTAGCAGCGTCCGTAGTCATAGCTACTACACTGTGCAACCTTGGCACGTCACGTCATGAGCTTACAATACTGAAATTGATTAAATTGTTAATTAATTACGCCATTAGCAGTGGTGCCAATTATATGGCTAGTATGGTAGCATTGCATTGCACCTCTGTGCATACCCGGCAATGTTATATAGCTTCTCCTCCAGATTAGAGTGATATTTCACTGTATTTATTAATGATATCTCCATACGTAAATGGTGGCCATGCAGTGTTGGTTTGAGATGTAAGGTTGTACCAGACACTGTCTAGATGAAGAAGGAAGATATAAAGTATTTTTATTACAGGTGGTATTTTTTTACATATTAAATTTATTGTAATTAATAAAGATATGGTAATTGAGGATGCGCTCAGGTGATTCGGTCTATAGAAAGTAATTTTCTATTTGATATTCCCATGTGCAGCATCTAGGCTTATTGTTTATTTATTTTAATTTTCAGCACACTCACTCCCCCAAGATGATACCCCTTCTTGTCGGCAATCTTTCGTCAAAGACTAAGGAGATTCGAAGGTGAGTGATAAACAGTATGTGTGTATGCGTGTGCGTGCGTGTGTGCGTACATGTGTGTGTGCCCTGCTGCTCCCTGATCGTAACACATCTACGCTGGTGTCTCCTCATCGCGTTTACGGCTGGTGTCTCCTCACGCGCTGTCTCCGCTCATAGCCCGCTCTACGCTTGGCGTCTCCGCTCACGTTCGCGTCGTACGCTTGGGGTTCTCCCTCACATTGCAGTTACAGGCTGACGGTCCCTCCTCATATCCGCGTCTGTCTACCGTGACGTGCTTCGTCTACCCGGCGCGTCTACGCTGGCGTCTCCCTCGATCGCGCGTATCTCAGCTTGGCAGTCTTCCTTCACCGACGCGTCTCCTGACGCCTCCCTACACGCGCGCGTCTACGCTGCGTCCCTCACCGCGCCCGTCTACGCTGGCGCTCGCCTCATTCTGCGCGTCTACCGGCTCGGCGCGTCTCGCCTCACTGCGGTCATACATCGGCTTCTCGCGGTCTCCCGTCTTCATCCGCGTATGCTATGGCCTGGACGTGTCTGCCCTTCACGCGCGTCTTTACTAGCTTTTGGCGTTCTCCCTTCAGTCGCGCGTCTTACAGCTGACGCTTCTCCTCACGCAGCATTGTCTTTTACGGCTGGTCGGTCTTCCTCATCCGGCGTTCTACGCGCTAGGCGTCTTGCATCACTTTTTGTTTGTGATTCTTTTATCAGCTGGTTTTGCTCCTCATCGGCGTCTTTCGCTGCGTCTCCCTCACCGCGCGTCTACGCTGGCGTCTCCCTCACCGCGCGTCTACGCTGGCGTCTCCCTCACCGCGCGTCTACGCTGGCGTCTCCCTCACCGCGCGTCTACGCTGGTGTCTCCCTCACTGCGTGTCTACGCTGGTGCCTCCCTCACCGCGCGTGTTGCTCTGTCTTGCAGGCAGTGTGCAGAGCTGCTGGACCAGATGCTGCACACGTGGCCGACGCACTCGCTCGAACGCCACATCGCCGTCATTCAGGACGCCATCAGGAAGGGCATCGCCGACGCCGACCCCGAGGCCCGCACCCGCTCGAGAAAGTGAGTGGCCAGCGCCCCCTGGCGATGCAAACCTCATCACGCCATCACCGTCCACGATCTGTGCATGAACGATGGGATGATAATTGAATGACAATCCCCATGATCGAAGCATGGGGAGCATCGGGATCAATGAAATTTAACCCACACTGTATCACGTTACTGCATTTTTTCAGAGCATTCTGGGGGTTTTCCGACCATTTCAAGGAACAAGCTGACAGTCTACTACAGTCCCTGGACAGCAGCAAGCAGAAGTTGCTGCAGGTAATACAGATGTTCGCTTGTTAACGTGTCTCATCGGCAAGTTCACTCACATCGATCTAGTGAGTTGGGTATCCCGCCCCGCTTGGGGAAATTCCCCCCCCCTCGTTTCAATCGTTGTGCCACGTTTAAATTACCTCCGCCCCGATTAAATTCCACCACAATAAGAGTTTGACAGCGCGGGAATCGAGGTCGGCATATGTTTCCATGAACCAGAGTATCTGTGAGACGTACACTGACGTCACGCACGAACTCGGCTATCTCCGAAGTTGAATGCATACAGCCTGCTGATAGTGGTTGCGCATGGTCATATTCCATTCTACGCATATCAACTTCCGCATCAGACTTTTTGTATATCAAGGAATGATGCAAAATCTCTAATCATAACCCTAACACTAACAATAAACCGACTCGGTTATCTTATATACGCGTGTTATAGTACCAAACACTGTCTATGGTGGTAGATAACCACTGACGTCACACTGACGTACACTGACGTCATGCAGATACTCTGTTTCATAGAAACATATGCCCACCGGGAAGTAGTTCCCCCCCCCCACTCCTCTGTTTCAATTACATCCTGGGGAGAACCCTAGTGTAGGAACGTGTTGATTATTTCCATACAGGTAGTCAGTATTAGGTGTGAGCTTGTGGGTAACTACCGCTCTCTACAACGTTTATTACATAATATATATTGCTATATATGATAGGGTGAGCTGAGCAACAGGTAGTCACTACTAGGTGTGAGCTTGTGGGTAACTACCACTATATATCTACAACGTGTATTACTCATGATAGGGTGAGCTGAGCAACAGGTAGTCACTACTAGGTGTGAGCTTGTGGGTAACTACCGCTCAATATACATTATACTATTACCTATGATAGGGTGAGATGAGCAACAGCTCCAGCAGTAACTCGGTAAACAGCGCCGGCAGAGTTTCGACGAGACGCACACCTGCAGTCAGAACGTCGAGTCGCGAGAACGTCGGTGCCGCCCCCCGGCGGTCTCACGGCACCATCTCAACAAGAGGCTTCACCAGCCCGTCGACCGACGGCAGTGAGTGCGATTCTGTCTTCTTGTTCTTCTCACGGCGTAGTGCTGGCACGCGACGTGATCTGTGTTGTCCTGTGCAGGGTTCGTAGCGGGTCTTCCAAAGTCTTATGAGTACTTATTTTGCCAAAAATAAAATAAGGGCCCTTATTAATACTTATTTTTGGTGAAATCTTAGAAAAGTACGTAATAGTCCTTACTTTTTGTCCTTTTTGTTGTATATATAATACGGAATAATTAAATCTGCTGTGCAATTGTGTATATAAATATTATTAGTGAACTTTAATAGTCGTTGATCTATCAGAAATCGCGTAAAAAAGTCTTATTTTGGCCTCCAGAAAGGGTCTTATAAGTCCTTATTTCAACATGTGTCTTACTACTATGAACCCTGCTGTGGTTGAAATGTGCTTAGGTGATAGCTCAGATGTTCTTCTCCTATTCGGTGCGGGTAACGTGCCCTAGCGTGAGATTTGACCTTCTGTGATGTCCTTTGGTGGTGTGGCCTTTGGCAATATGTGATTTTAGGATAGGTAGATAATCATTCGTGAACATGGGAGCACACGTAACGATAATACTTTTATTCGGGACGTATCCGTCTCGATTTTCAACAGTAGGTAGCGAATATGAATGATGCCAAATGCAGATTTCGTTCGTGTCTCGGCACGGTGTGCTAACGTGGTTTGTCATGTTGATTTAGTTGGCAAGCGGATAGAGGCTGCACCAGCGGTGCGTTCCAATAGTGCCATCGACAGCAGTGCCGTACAGCGCGCCCGCGCCCGTGCCTCAGCCGTGGGCCCTGTCGGCCGTGTGGAGAAAGGCTCCTACAACTCTCTACGTGAGTGCATATATATAGTTCCATATGCCACTAGCCGCCGCAGTGCTCACAAGTCATCGATGATTTGGAGGGAGCGACTTGTGGATTTGTTTAGATTTCTCTCTGGTCGGAAATGTGTTCAGATATTCATTGTAGTGGGATGTGCTTCTGTATTCATTGTATTTAGTAGTAGTGATGTGTCACAACACGTGACTCCGTAATTGAGTGGTTGGGTGTATCTGCTCGGTGTTAGCAGTAATACATTTTGAAATGAGTAGTTTCTCATTAAAACTTTTCTTTTCTTTTCGTTTTCCAATCCAGTCGATGATGACGATGGTAAGGCATGTTTCTTAGTTATCCCCTGTTAAAACTTGCCTGCTCTCAACATCGAACATGGCTGGTAGTAATAGACAATGCCAGATGCATTTGAGTCTTAGTCAGCTTTTCAGCAGTGCTTGGTCATCTTCGTAAAACATTCGGTAGTTCAGGAAAGTCCCATGCAAAATAATATTTTGTGTGCATGGCAGGCCTTTACACACCTTTTTACACCTGTTGTGTGGCGTTTGATAAAGGTCAGAGTGGAGAGGTCTATTAGATGTTTAACTGTACATTTAAATTAGGTTTATTATTAATTCGTGCTGTGCAGATGCACCGTGTACAAAACGAGTTAGGTTACTTGCATTTAGCTTTCTAACACAGATGAGAGTTATTTTAAATTCTCGAGTCCCACACGGGGGTCCGTTGTCAGAAACATTATAAATAGTTATAACTATCATAGCTGTAAAATGTCACAACTCTTACACTACACTTTACTTTAAAAGTTATGACGTATGTGAATATTATTAGACTTATGATGTCAAATATACTTGTGATGTTTCTGACAATGGGTTACAGCCAGGTCAATGAAGACCAGCGTCACTCTTACTGTTGACCTGCCCAGAGACAACGCACAATTTGTGCGGCTGTCTTTAAGTAGCATGCAAGAATAAAAGACATGGTTTTCACGTAACCATCAATATATGTGTGTGCGTGCGTGCGTGTGCGTGTGTGTGCGTGCGTGTATGAGCTGGGGCCTACTCCATCTCCCCCTAGCATGGCTCTTGCAGTGTGGTAAATGCATGCAAATCTTAAACACTATTGCTACCTACTATATAAAATGTTATACCTAGTTACTGTATAAACATGACCAGGGTTTTAATGACACAGTTCAAAGTTAACTTGCTAGCAATGCTGACGGTTGAGGCTGTGGTGAATCCTTCCTGCTACAGGAGTGATGAGCTCAGGTCAGAGGTCACCGTGCGTCGGTGCTGGCGGCGGTTCTAGCGACGTAACGAGCGTGCTTTTGTTTTGCAGCGCGGTCAGCGAAGGGCGGGCCCGTGGACCACGGCGATGGCAGGCAAGGTCGTTCAAGGGTGTCGCATTCCCAGCGTACGTGTTGCTGCTGTTATCCGTTCTGCGAATTTCTCACGCGACGTTCGTGTGTTTCGGCGGCTGGCGAGCGCGCCGGTCTGATCAGTCTTCAGCTCTGCGTCACATTCGTTCTGCTGTGAAGATGTCACTCTTGTTATTGTGCAATCGCGTTCTTGTTTTGCGCGGTATACCTTTATTGTCGTCACTCAATGCCGCGCGGTCTCGATCTAATGTGGGAAGGCTTCCATTCTCCCACACTGCATGGCAGGTTTTCCTCACAAGCCACTGATTACTCGTGGTTCGTGTAGAATCGCCGCATCTCAAATAGCGCGGATCACGAAGAATTATGTGACGTAATTCACAAAAAAGTTCGTTGAGATTTAATTTTCAGGTTCCATGAGAACGCGCATGCATAATTTTGTGTCGCTCAATTAAAAAAATGCAAAATGAGTTCGTGAACAAACAAACTCGCCTTAAATTATAGTTTGATACTCCGGCGCATGTCGTGATTCTCGTCGTCCCTTGCTGCATGGTTTCGTTTTTCTCGTTTCGCATGGTGTGCCACTATTCTTCTCTCGAGCTGCATGCTTTTTTTTCTCGTCTTGCTCTGGGTAGGTGTCTTCATGTTCTGCATCGCGTAACTAATGCTATTCTATTCATGCACTGCATTGCTATGTTTCGCAGTTGCTTGTTGGAAGCTGCGTTCTCATCTTCTCGCATCGCATGGCATCGTTTCTGTACATGTAGCGTGTACCTGTTATATTAATTCCTTTTCGCACCGTCTCATTTGTGTTTCGTGGCGTGTATCTGTTCTCATAATTCTTTGTCGCATGATCTCGTTTGTGTTTCATGGCATGTATCTGTTATCATTGTTCCTTGTCGCATGGTCTCGTTTGTGTTTCGTGGAGTATACCTGTTATCATTATTCTTTGTCGCATGGTCTCGTCTGTGTTTCGTGGCGTGTACCTCACCTGTTATCGTCATTCTTTGTCACATGGTCTCGTCTGTGTTTCGTGGCGTGTACCTCACCTGTTATCGTCATTCTTTGTCACATGGTCTCGTCTGTGTTTCGTGGCGTGTATCTCACCTGTTATCGTCATTCTTTGTCGCATGGTCTCGTCTGTGTTTCGTGGCGTGTACCTCACCTGTTATCGTCATTCTTTGTCGCATGGTCTTGTTTGTGTTTCATGACATGTATCTGTTCTCATAATTCCTTGATGCATGGTCTTTTTTTGTTTCCTGGCATATATCTGTTATCATAATCCCATGTCGTGTCGTCTTGCTCTAGTTTCGTTACGTGTATCCCTTCTCATAATTCCACGTTGCATGGGCCTTGTTCTCGTTTCATCGTCCATCCGTTCTCGTAGCTCCACGTTGCGCGCGACGTCATCTCCCTCCGCACCGCATCACGGGGCTCTGCTTCTCTCTCCTCATCATCATCATCGCATGGCTTTCTCTCTCTCTCTCTTGCAGCGGGTAGCCGGTCCAACTCTCCGTCGTCGCGCTACAGCTACCAGACGTACGCGGGCAGCGGCGACCGCAAACCCCGGCGCTCCGGCATCCCGCGTAGCACGGGCACGAGCCGTGAGACAAGTCCGAGCAGGCTCGGCGGCGGCTACGCGCGCGATCGCAGGCTTAGCGCGGGCGCGGCGGGCTCCAGGTCCGGGCGCGGCGCGGTGAAACGTAAGAGCATCCGTCTCCGTCGCGCGCTGTTTCGCGGCGCCGTTGGTCGCTGTCTCTCTCATCGAGTCGAAGCCGGCGTCGCGTGCGAAAAGGAATTCGATGTTTTCTCCGTGTGCCTGTTCGTAATGCATGGGTCTCAGTGTGTGGGAGACGTGCGACCGGGATGCACCAGTGAACACCTACTCGTTTAAGTGATAACAGTTATCGCTTAAACAATTAATGGGCAATGCATTAATTAGCATGTCAGATGCGTTGTTCGTGTAATGTTGAAAAATTGCGTATTAGTTCTGGCAGTTGGCGCACAATGGTCTTAGAGCAAACGTAGTGCAATCCGACGGGTGGCTTGCTTTGGTACTCTACTCCTGTTCTATGCTTCATCTGTCAAATAAATTATTCCCTAATCACAATCTGTCTCTTAACATTCTCTTTGTTTAATGAACAAAGTAAACTACCTGTTCATTCAGTCTATATATGCGTGAAATTAAAAAGGGGTTACATATTTAGTATATATATGTATATAGTATATATGGTATATATAGTATATATAGTATATCTATATATTCTGTAAATAGTTCTACATGCTATTCCAAATATTTGCAAGATTACGAGTGGGTGGGCTTCATTGTAATGGATAAGGATTCAGTGCTTTCTCTTCACAGCTGGTGGCAACTCTGCTGTGCTCGCTCAAAGGGTGCTGCTGCCCGGACAAGAAACAGAAGCTGCGCTTAGTGACGCGCTGGTAATTTATTTGTTGGTGTTATTAATTGTCACTATTGAGTGTGAGATGATTCGGTACTTTTCACCGAACTTGGGGCAAAAATTACTGACAGTTAAGATGAGATTTTACGGACAGTTACGAAACTTGCGTAAGAGTTACAGTGACGCGCTGATAATTTAATCATCGGTTCTACTGTAGAGTGATTGTGTGCTGGATAATCGACAGGTAAATTTACTCCAACTCATAGATCTGTCTTAGTGCATCACTGCATCTCCACAATGACGGGGGACATGATCAAAGTGCTGCGTTTCATTGTCTTTCCAAGTCGAATATCAGTCGGGCGTAAAAGGTTTGGGTAGATTAGCATTTGTTGATCTTCTCAAAGATTATTTAGTATGGGACGAATGGTGAGCATGAGTGTAACATTGAACTATTGCTGTATCTGCAGAGAGGGCCATTGAGGCGGCGCTATGATAACTACCATTCAGACGATGAGAGCGAGACGTCTAGCATTTGCTCTGAGAAGTCTTACGGCTCGTACAGGAGCGAGGTAATCGTCAGCCACGTGCACCTCATGCCCTCCTCCGCTCCTCCTCGCTGTCGCCCTATCCCACCAACCCACTGCCTTCCTTTCCAACGTCCTGCCATTCTACCGCTCTCTCCCTTTCTCTCTCTCTCCCTCCCGCCTTCTCTCGCTCTCTCTCTCTCTCTCTCTCTGTCTCTCTCTCTCTATTTCTGCTCTTTCTCTATTTCTCGCCTTTCTTATTGTTCCATTTCTTTGTACTGTCTCCATTCATTGGTCGAGTCAATTGTGTGTCTTTTTCTGATTCTGAAATGGTTACTCGGTATTATTTGTGTGTCATATTCCTTTGAATGCGCTAAGGAAGTAAGTGCCTGCACGTTTGGATGTGCATTGGCCTCCTTAGCATATATGTCTGTATATTGTTCTCAATGTATGAATACACCCTTGTTAAAATTTAAAATTACATAACCTGGCCCAATGTGTGATGACGACGTTGTTTCTGTTTTCTCCCATGCTGCTATCAGAAGTCTGATAGAGGAGAAAAGGTTACCAAGGTAATTCTGCCGTTCTGCAATTAGATATTGTAAAAATAAAACAGATCGCTTACTAGTGCAGCTGCACTCTTGGACTTAGGCAGTCAGCTAATCACCCGACTTCTTGAAAAGCCTGTACTGATATTATAAGAACAATAACAACTAATATTTACCTTTGCAGGGCTACCACAGTTTGTTCATGAAATTTGCCAGCAACAGCAGTATGCTGATGTTGCGGTCACGAACATCTTGATCTTGTGAACAAATCCTGTATCTGCTACAAGTTCATGTTCATATTAAACGTAATACAGGTTGGCTGCTTTCGTGGCACGATCAAAATAACCTGCGAAAAATGTGTTTGCATTGAAACAATCTTCGTAATTCTGTGGAAGTCATGCATAGATGCGCGCGTATTTCTCGATTGCTGCTGCGGTAAGGGGTGGGTGGGCGCCCGTCGTACTTTAGGATTGGCGTGTTCGTATGCCCCGGTACGTTCCCCCCACACACGTGCTGGAAACCGTGGCGTCTTTGCAGGGTCCGCAGTCGACCAAGAAGAAGCAGTCGCATAAGGGCATAGACACAATCCTAGAAGGCCAGATGAAGGTATAGTCGGTCGCCAGGCGGGCGGCTGCCCACGTATCTCTTTCTCGCGCTCACGCGAACACCGTCTCGCACCACGCCACTACGCTGTCACGTCGTTGCGTGGGTGCCTTGCGGCAGCGGCGCCAGCACGAATGCTTATTGTGTGTTAATTGCTAGACAGCAGGCTGGTATCGGCATGCATCCCCCTGCACGCTTTTGGTGTCGTCGTCTCTAACTGTCACGTTCGTGTTCCGAACAGACAGACGAGCTGAGTGGCCATCGTTAGGGGGTGAAACGGGGGTGAAACCCCTGCAACTGGCTCTATAGTGGAGGCTGCTCGTACTTCCCTCCCCCATACGTGCTGCTCAGCATCCTCCACCGCGACAACGCTATAGCTAGCACCGACACGAACGTGTCTGCCGCGCACCCGCACCCGCTCCTTGCGCACGTGCACCATGGCAACCGCCATCAACATGCTTCCGTCACTCAGTCATCTGTGAGCACAGAGGAGAGGCTTTGAATAAGTAGGAGATCGGTATTGCAGGGGCTGTTATATCCATGTCTATCGATCAAAATGAGCCGAGCTAGTGTATGCACCACTCTTTCCCACCTGCTGCTGCCGCTTCTTGCGCTTTATTTTGTGCGTTCATGCGTCTGCACCTGGGGCGTGCGTATACGCGCGTGTATGCGTGTACATGTGCCTGGTCTCCTGTTTATTTATGCAGGGTGCGAATTAAATTATGCAGAAATCTCGTGGTTCGTAAATATTTCATTCATTCATGGGTGTTGATGTATCAACATTAAGTTAGTACAACAGCCCGTTAGGATGGTGATTCATATAACTCTCCATGGTTGCTCTTATTGAAAATTATTTTGTTCATAACCCAGATAATTTACTACCAGAATTTAAATAAATTATATCTAGACTAACTATGATCTATTAGTAGCACCAGGTGAAATAACACTCACCTGGTAGAAAGTGCAGGTAAAAACTCGTGACCAACAGAGTCCCCTATGGACTACCATATATATATTATCAAAATAGCTAAATTAACTTGATTATATCAATAGCAAATTAACCAGATTGAAATATTGCAGTCCACATGACTATATATGCTACTAGGCAGAGAAGGTTAATTTTACGTACTTGCTTGAATACCCTTACTGAGAGAAAAACTGCCTGCATGAATGTTGTAGGAATGGCTTGCAGAAACGTGTGCAGAATTCTTTTACAGTTGACAGCAGTGTTGATAATAATGGCGAATGGAATGCATGTCGGCTGTCACTGTGACATCATACTCAAACAACGATCCTGTTATGTATCAACAATGATTACGTGATTCTATAAGCAATTGTTTAATAACAGCAGTGAGATAATTAGCAGCTGTACAACTCGACACGTAATATGCTTTTATGTCTTTCCTTCAAAAAGTGCACTAATGGGGCGAGTTTTAACCCACAAAGCTGGCAATTATCGGCAGAAGTAGTTGAGAGCGTGTGGTGGCATGAAATATTTTTGCGTATTTGGCTAGCGATTTAAAAATGCTTATATGTTGCTGATGTGTTTTATGTTGCCTGCAACGACACTGCCTGTTGCTGATGTGTTAGCAATGCAATGGCTACCCCGCTGCCGGGGGCGTGTGTAGCAGCATGAGCCGCTAGTGCGAACCCCGCGCATGACTGACTGACTGTCCCATGGTCTGTCTATTCACAGGATATTGCAGAAATTGTCAACATGTGCTCCAGTACCAACTGGTCTGAGCGAAAGGAAGCGCTGACTGCTGTGCAGAACATCTGCCGTCATCCGCGAACGCTCAGGTAGGATATTTGTCGCTAATAGTTTGTGAGTCAGGGAGTTGGTGCGACCTTGCAGGGTTGACCTTTAGCTGTGGTGTGAAATAAATGTCAGAAATGTACTTCCGTTGCCGCATTTGTGCACATATATGTATGTAGAGTGTCTATTCAGTCTGGGTATTCAGTGCTAAATTCTTTTTCGTTCTCTTTCAAATCATCGCTCAATACCGCAGATATTAAAACCCACGCTTCCGTTGTATGTAAATGCTGCGAGTTAACAATGAAATTCATACAAATGAATAGACGGTTTAACACGGTTGACAAATACTACGTTGAAAACTACTACGTTGAAAATACTACGTTGAAAACAACGTTCTTTGACATATTCGTATGACATGCGTTCGTCATTACCATGCAGAGAAAAGCTTGATATAAAGTTCAGTGTGTAAAGTTATAGTGCTCCAGTAAGTAAGTTAACAACCAGAAACTTTGGCAAACATTGCTGTTTATCCGAATCGCAATTTCTATATCACATTCTGCTTTCAATGAGAAATTAAAATACAAGACTGAAATGAAGTTGTAATGAAATGAAGACTGAAGTTTGAATATTATTAAGT